GTAAAAACACCTGCGCTGGTGTAACAGAAAGTTCACAGGCCTCCCAGAGGTAAACAAATTTTTAGTTGAGTCCTGCCCCACCCCTTGATAGCTGTGTGACTCTGGGCATGTTACTTGGATTACCCAAGTCTAGATTTTCTCATCTGTGATACAGGGCTAATATATGCCTCGCAGGACAGTTGTGAGAACTGAATGTACACTTAGCAAACGACTCATGCCTCTCTCCTAGAGCCTAGTCCGTGGCATCATTATAAATGTGATCATCAAATCATAAAATCCTTGGACATGTGGTCTAAGTACAACATTCCTAACTAAGAATTCCAAGCTGGGCTTTATATTCAGACACATCTATCTATATTTGAATCCTGGCTCCGCCACATACTAGCTTTTTTTTTTTTTCATTTCAGCTCTTTGAATCTCATTTCCTTTATGAGATCAAAAATGCTTACATGACAGGATTGCTATCAGAAATAATAAATATGAGATTCCTTCGGTGTTGGTGTTGGCCACTTTGCGTGCATCATCCTGTTGCTGTATGCCTATAACAATCTTTTGAGATAATGTCATCATCTGCATTTCATAGATGAGGGAGTGGTCTTCTATGGTTACGAGGCCATCTAAGAGGTTCAGTAACATACTTCCTGAAACTCACAACTAGCAATGGCAGAGTAGGGACTTAAACCCAGGTCTGTTCTCTCTCCTAAGGTTGGCATATAAGTCATATGCTGTCTTCCTAGCCAGTAAATTGAGTGAGACAATGAATATAGAGGCTTTAGCACATTGTGGGCACTTAACAAGCAGTTTCAGCCAGGTACCCTAGTGTCTCACAGCCACCTTACCAGCTTTCCTTACTAGACTTCCCTGGTTGGCAAGGGACCACCACACATCGAAATGCGGGAGGGGCAGGAGGGCTGCGAGAGCCATTGCATTATTCATGTCTAATTCTACTTGCCTAATGGACTTGTTAAAAGCACCCTGAGTGGGAAGTGTGAGTCTTAATGGCATTTTATAAAAGTTGCTGTGATGAATTAGCACATAAAGCAAATTAAAAACAGCTTATTGCTTTTTAAATTAGGTGATGGGGCATTGGAGTATTTTTCCCAGATGTGAAGATCCATTAATATCCAAAGGAGCCAGAAACTGCTGAAATGTGTCAGCTGCTTGTTTTTAGGGACCTGACATGTCAGAATCAGTGTGATCCTAGAGGGGAAGATTGTCTAAGATAAATAGCACTCATGGAAGGAGTGTGTCAACTGAGCCCCTTCCACAAGGGTGCTAATTGCTGAAGGCCAGCAGGAGAAATCTCCCCTCAGGGATTCTTGGGAATAGAATGGAGCACAGTAAGTGAGTGTTTGACCTGATGGGAACCTCTGGGAACAGTCTCTACTCCCTTCCCCTTGCACATGGGAACACTGAGACTTTAGAGAAGTCAGGCTTCTGAAGGTCACCTGAAACGTTTCCACAGACCTGTACTGAGGATCCACTAGGTGCCCAGCGCTGTATGGGTCCTGAGGATAGAAAGGGTTTTAGATGTCTGTGCAGAGTCCACAAGATTTCTATACTAATGGGCACAGTTGGGACTCAGGTCCACTGATTCAAAGCCCAGGACATTTTTCAGAATAACAATTATGATAGTAATAATAACTAACATCTCAGGAGCACTCACTGTGGCCACGTTGGTGTTGCAATATTTTCCATATATTATTTCATTTAATCCTCAGCTACTATTATTACTGTGCCAGTTTTACCGTTAATAAAACTTGAAGCCCAGAGAGGTTAAGCAACTTGTCCAAGGCCACACAGTTAAAAAGTTGCAAACCCAGGCAGTCTGATGCTAGAGCCTGCCTTCTCAGCCACCACCTGCCAGCTTTCCTGATGGCTTTTCTACCTCCACTTTCTACACTTTACACCCAGAAGGAGCCTGGAGCCAAACCAGAGCTTCAAGGATTTTTAAGATAAAAAATACTGGGACAAGAACTGAATGGCAAGGGACCTTCAGGAGTTTAGAGGGGAAGAGGTGGTCAACTTTGAAGGGAAGACTAAAAGTTCCCAGTGCTGCTAAATTGTGAGCATGGCCAGAGGGTGACAGCCTGATAATGAAATAGTCAAGAATGTGGATGTTGACGTCAGACAGATATTTATTCTAGATTCCGTCTCTACCACACATGTACGTGTGCCCTGGGGCAAGTCCCTTAACTTCCTGAGTTTCCTTCCCTCATCTGTAAAACAAATATGAGTTTTTACCTTTAGGGTTGCTGTGATGTCAAATAAGACAATGAATAAAGTGTCAGGCCCCCTAACATGGGCATTAGTAGTGGTTGCCATCACATTATCATCCTTGTCACCTGGTTGCCACCTCTACCACCTCCCGTATTGAAGGGTGACAAGGTAAAAAGCACTGAGCTGGGCCTCGAGATCAGTAGACCCAAGCACCAGCCCTAGATTCTGCCACTAAGCCATGTATCCTTGGATTAGTGGGTGCGCCTCTCTAATACGTGGATAGCACTATGTTCATCATACCTTCTTTGTGGTATTGGATTGAGTCACAAATAAGGTAGTGTCTGTGAATATGCTTTACCATCGATAGAGTGAGTGTTGGGGGTCCCCAAGACAATTCCCAGGGTTAATGATTCACTATGAGGACTGCCAGTCCTCAGCTTCATCCTACTCATGACTGTGATTTATTACAGCAAAAGGATTCAAAGCAGTATCAGCACAGGAAAGGAGCTGATGGGTTAAAGTCCAGAGGAAACTGGGTGCTGGCTCCCAAGAGTCTCCTCCTAGTGGAGTCACACTAGACATGCCCAGTTCCTCTGGCAATAAATTTTGACAACAGGTGTAAAATATTGTCTATCGGAGAAGCTCATTAGAGACTCAGGGTCAGGGTTTTCCCTGGGGGCTGGTCACGTAGGCACCCTCTGCTTAGCACATTTCCAGACTCCCAGAAGAAAAGCAATTGTTCAGGATAATGTTATTGGTTATACAGGTTAGGCACGTGAGCCATTCTGAATAGGAAATAGTGAGAAACTTCCCAAAACCTAAGTTCCAGAGTCAGCCAAGGGCCACCTTTGCAAGCAGGCCTTGTTAAGGATAGTGGCCTCGGGATTGCTGTTAACCAATTTTTACACAGAGTAGCACTTGCAGAAAGGATTTTTATGAAGATACACTCAAAAGGGAAATAACAACAACAACAACAGTTTGTACTTACTGTCAGTATGCGCCAGGCACTATTGTGCATGCTTTCCATGTATTGCCTTATGTGACTGTTCATCCATACAGTCCCTCGATGGAGGTACTGTCATCAGCACTCTGGTATATATGAGAGGTTAAGTAGTTTGCCTGGGTAACCATCTATGTGACGAGTAGGAAGTCATAGGACCAGGACATGGCCCTAACAGTGTGGCCCCTCAGTCTATATTTCTAACCCCCATGTTACACTCTGTTACGCTGCACCTACCCAGGGCTGGGCGCTTTGTATGTGTTATTTTATTAATGCTCACAACAGCTCCACGTGCATATAGTTATTGGACTAATTTTGCATTAAAAACACCTGCTGCTCAGGAATGTTCATTTTTGTCACATCACCCCACCAGAAAAGTGACAGGGTCCAGAGTGGGTCTCTGCTCTCTCCCAGCCTTCTTTTCCTAGCAGGGCTTTGTTGAAACTTTTGGTAGGGAACATGCAAATGGTCAAGGTGGAAATGAGTCGTTCTGGGGCTGAGACCTAGAAACCGCCCCCCATATTCCTCCAGTGGGGACAGAGGGGGCTGTGTTAGTGGAAGAAGAGGTTGTGTTGCAAGTAACTCAACTTTTCCTGCAGTGTTTCAGGGCTGTTTTCAGCTCTTTTTGGTTGTCATGACGGCAGATTTGACATTTCTTTCATGAGGAAAAAAAAGAAAGGCAAAGAACCACATTCGGTCCCCCGTGATATTAGAATAGTCTATTTCTCAGATCTAGCTAATTTTTTTTTTTTTTTTTTTTTTTTTGCGTAGTGGTTACACTCGAGGGAAATCCTTAGAATGGAATCACAGGGGAATAAACAGGGAGATGGCAAAGTCTGCTCCTCCAGAGAAATTGTATGCTGCGTGTGTGGTGGTTGGTGAGAGTGGAGATACAGGAGGAGGGGGATAGTATAGGACTTGAGACAAATTGTCAGCTTCTGAAGGCAACAGCTTGTTATGAAGGTCTTGGTCATCATTTTAATTCTGCTTTCAGCTGCCTCACCCCATCAGTCATGCATGTGTTGGGCTTTGCTAGGCTAAGCCAATGCTCTTTGGTGGGGAAAGCATGATACATAAAGCAAGAATTACCATTCAGAGTGACAACTGCAATGATGAGGTAGGCTCGGCATTCTATGAAAGCAAAAATTTTGCTCATATAATTTTGATCTTTCTACATACACACACACATAAACAGAGGTGCATATATTTGCATTATTGCATTTTAAACACACATTTATGTCCTTATATTAACCTCTGCAACCATCCAGTTTTAGCGATGGTCCAATATTCCAGAGGAGTGGACGGAACACAGTCCCCTGGGAGTTACCATTTTCCCCTGTTCTATAGGCTGATCCATCTGAGAGGATTTGTTCGTAACACAAATGTTTCATTCAGGAAAGATGCCCATGTTTCTTCTTTTCATTATTTCCTTCTTTTTTTGTGATTTTAAAATTTTGACTGTAGTGGGAGGGAAAAAAAAATCTTCATTAGGTACTAAACTGTCTTTATCATCTGTTATCATCCCCCTGTCACAAATGATGGCCTCCGAGAAAAGCATCCCAGTTCCAGGGGTGTACAGGCTCCCCCTGCAACCGCCAAGGAGAGGCAAGAACTAAACTCGATTTGTGACCAAAGCAATGGGAATGTGGACTGCAATTTGGGAGCTAGTCCTGGAAGTTGGAGGATGGGTTCTCAGGGCAAGAGGGGATAATCAAAACAATGAATCCTAAATTGTTGTCCAGAGATTCCTAACATTGTCCCCTCTCGTTGTTTCCTCCAGAGCCATGTTTGACTACGACAAGAGCAAGGACAGTGGGCTGCCAAGTCAAGGACTTAGTTTTAAATACGGAGATATTCTCCATGTGATCAACGCCTCTGATGATGAGTGGTGGCAAGCCCGGAGAGTCACCCTGGAGGGAGACAGTGAGGAGATGGGGGTCATCCCCAGCAAACGGAGGTAAGAATGCCTTTGCTATTTCAGGGCGTTTGCCTTGCAGCTCTCCAGGGAGTGGAGATGAGGGAAGATGGACATGTGGCAAACTCTTCACAAAACATCTCGTTGAGCGGGACAGTCGGTCTGCAGGGAAATTGTTAGTGGTGACAGGTGACATGAAGTAAATATTCTCACTCTCTTCATATTAGAGTTTCACCCAAACTGGTGACTGATAAGGCAGGAAGGAAGAAAGAGGATCTGCTCACACTGCCTTCCTAAAACTTCTACATACATTCACATTTTCGAGATTATGCTTATCAGCTTGTATGCTGATTTACACTCTCGGAGGGCTTATTCCAAAGGTTCAACATTTAACAATTTCCTAGAAAGGCTAGGTAAAAGCCAAATAAAGTAATTGTTTACTAAGCTAAGACTCTGGCTATGTATTACCTCCCAATACCGAAGGAAATAAGCTACAAACCTCCATTCCAAATTCCGATGCTTGGGATGCAAGCTGCCAAACATCGGGTGAGGTCGAAATACTGGGTTCACAACTGTTTTTCACTCTTTCAGTTACTCCTTCCCCACCCTACCCTACAACTCCCCACCCCACACAGATAGTTCTAAGTTTCCTAAGTCAAGAGTATCATGCTCTTTCTTTTCCGAGCATTTGTTCAACTCTGCTTGGAAAAGCTGGAATATACTTCAGAACAGCTAACTCCTCCATCATCCCCGCAGCTTCTACTCATCACCGGCAGAAAGGAACTCTCCTTCCCCCAGGTATTGTCTGAGAAACAAATCACCTGCACCCTAGAAAAGAGATATGGTAAGAAATCAAAGTCAGGAGTAATGTTATTCACAGCAGTCACCAACTGTTCTCAAGCTGCAGGTTTCTCAAAGGGCTCCCTCATATCCAGACACCCCAAATACCTTTGTGAAAACCCTAAGTGAGGCCGAGTATGTAAGTGCTATGCTGCTGAACAAAGCGTGATCCAGAGACTGACCCGGAAGGAACCACAGTGGGAAGATGTAAATTACACTGAAGAATAACCCTGTGGGGCATTTGCACCCAAAAAAACACTGGTCTCCCATCTTTCTCTGCCTGTGTCCACACAGCCTGGAAAGAAATGTGGGGGGAGGGCAGTTTACCCACTGTTCCTCACGTTTGGGGGTGGGGACCTGAGTCACCCAGAAGCAACTGAAACTCCAGGGGATCTCCCCACCCCCACGCCCATGCCTAAGGATCCTGCACCGGCAGACACTCCCCTGGGTCTCTAAACCTCTGGGCTCCTGAGTAATTGCCTCACATTGCTTTGAGAGGACATTCGGAGTGTGTACCATGGCTTGTAATGTCTTCTGAAGGATTTCGTATTCAGAGCATTTCTCTCAGCCCTCGTTTATATTCTGTGTTTCTCCATTTCCATTTACTTCGCACACAAAAATGTCAAGGCAACGTGCATTTTTATTTGGTTTGATTTAATTAATCGAAGCTGTCGGAGGGGCTGCTCTGTAGAAAAAAGCCCCAAGGATGAAATGGGTGAAGGAAGGAAAGCTGTGTGGGAATAGACTTCGGCTCATGTTCAAGTTCTTTTACTCGTCAGAGCTGCCTAGAGACGGTATGGATTACCTGGGAAGATAGTAAACCTGATCATGATTTTCACTCCAGAGGAACATTATGAAAACTTAGATATGCCCACCCCTGCCTCTCTGACCTCTTCCAAGTGCCCCCACACCTCACACACTCTCAGATTCTAATTCAGTCCATCTGGGGTGGGTCCTGGAAATCTGTATTTTTTATAAGTGTCTCCAGGTGATTCTGATAATAGAAGATCCAGTGTCGGGAAAATTGTAAAAGGGATTCAAACTTTGGATATGAGAGTTGAACTGTATGATTTTCAGCCCCTTTTTAACCCTGTGGTTCTGTGATTCTAACCAGCCTTGTCAATACTCCTTCATCTGTTGGATTACACACTTTTCTCCCCAAGAAAGAGTCTCCATGGTGTTCCTCTTGTAATTTTCCATTGTGAGTTGTCTTTCTTTTTAGGGTAAAAACCATTTTAACAACCATACTACAGCTGGCCTGGAAAAGAAGTCTGTCTAGTGAATATAATGTTGATATTTATTTGTATTGTATCTCATGAGAGTGCAGTAGTTCCCCTTCGTGTGTGTATGTGTGCATGTGTGTACATGTATGTGGGTATGTGTGCAAACATGAATGTATGTGTGTGTGTGGCTGTAAATGAATCTCCTTAAAATTTTCTCCTTAGGATTTTAATTCTTTCCAAAAATGTTGCTATTATTGTTTCATATGCTTATAAAAGTAACACATTTCATTGTAGAAAAATGGAAAATTTAGAAAAGGATAACGAAGAAATAAAAATCACTTAGAATCATATCTCACAAAGAGTTCTTTTGCATATTGTAACACAATTTAAAATCCATCATGAGCCTGTTGTGAGCCGCTTTTAAATTCTTCTAAATGAGGCACCCTCATTTCATACCACATTCAGCATCTTAAAACTGTAGCTCATAAGAAATGGCAGCTGGTACAAATATGATTTACCATTAGAATTAAGGATTCCTCTCTAGCCCCTTTGATGAGTATATTTCAGCTAGTGGAGCTGATATGGGAAAATCTCATAACAGATAACATCAGTGTGTGACATTACCCTTTACAGAAATGTTTCTCTATTATGATTTCATTTAATCATCCCAGTAAAACCAAGATGAAAATTATTGCCTTCCCCTTCCATTTTTTTAAAGATGGTGAATGAATTTTATTTACCAAAATACTCCTAGAACATGCTAGACACTGTTCTAAGCCCTTTTACAATGAACTTATTTAAACCTCATTGCAATCCTATAAAGGAAGTGATATTATTATTTCCATTTTATAAATCAGGAGACTGGTTAACTTGCCTGAAACTGCCCAGCTGGTAAGTGACAGAACTGGGATTTGAATCCAGGCTGCTGAATTAATGGTCTTGATACATCTGCAATCCTACCTCCCAAAGTTACACAAGTAAGACTTCTCAAAATTTAAGTCAGCAAGCATTGCTTGAGCAGTATCAGGGTGCCAAGGGCTGTCACTGGGCCACTGCCTGGACCCCAACATTTATGGGACCAGCATGTAGCTATGGCACAGCTACACTGTGATGGGAGCTATATCATAAATAAAAGTACTGCCCCTCTCTGCTCAGGCTGCCATAACAAAACACCACAAACCGAGTAACTTAGACAATAGACATTTATTTCTTACAGTTCTGGAGACTGGGAGTCCAAATTTAAGGTGCTGGTTAATTGGGTTCCACATGAGTGTCCTCTTCCTGGTTGGCACAAGGCCTTCTCACTAGATCCTTACATGGCTGAAATAGAGATTTTTTTTTTTTTTTTATGTCTCTTCTTCTATTAGGGCACTAATCCCATTTATAATGTCTCCATCCTCCCGCCCTGCCGGTGTGGCTCAGTGGTTAAGCATCAACCCATGCACCAAGTTCGATTCCTCCTCAGGGCACTTGTCCTGATTGTGGGCCAAATCCCCAGTGAGGGACATGCAGGAGGTGGCCAGTCAATGTTCTCCCTCATCAATGTTTCTGTCTCTCTCTCCCTCTCCCTTCCTCTCTTTCTAAATATCAATAAAGAAAAAAATATTTTTTTAATGTCTCCACCCTCCTGACCTAATTATCTCCCAAAAGCCCCACCTTCAAATACCATCACATTGGGAATTAGGACTTCAGTAGATGAATTGGCAAGGTGGGGGTGGAGGGCACAGATATCCGTCCATAGCAGGTATCACGGAAGTGAAAGGGCAGCAGACAGGGATGGATTCCATCTGATGACAGCGCTGACTATTGTGCCAGGTGCTTTCAAATATATGATTTCATTTAATCTTCACAAAAGCCTTATAAAGACACCGAGGGTCACAGCCAGCCACTGGCTGAACCCAGGTCTCTCTGGTGGTAAGATGGCTTTCCACTACACCGAGAGTATACCAGCAGCCCTTGCCATGAAGGAGTTCTTACTATGTTTCAGACATTGTGCTAAATAACTTTCTTGTATTACCTCATTTAACATTCTCCATCTTTTTTTGAAGTCTGTGTTAATGTTCTAATTTTAACAACATGAAATCTGAAATGCTAAGAGGTTGAATGACCTTCCCTGAGTCATCGAGCTAGTAAACAGTGGAGGCAGAATTCAAACCCAGGCTTGTGTGACTGCAAAACCTGGGCTCCTAGCATAGCATCTCAGTTTTCTGAGACAACCTAGTTTGTGAGTGGCCAAGGCTGAGATTTGTTCCACAGTCTTCCAATCCAAATCTCTACACGCCGCCCCACAGTGACTGGTCGCCGAGGCTCTCGGATGACAGCTTGCAGCTGGCACTGCATACGGGTTTACTCACCTCGCCTTTGCAGCAAGCCTGTGGCCAGTAACATGGATGGCATTTCAGTTCTCCCTGCAACAGGGCCTGGTGGAGCCCAGCCAAAGGAACACCCAGCACCAAACGATGTTCCCACCATCCAGTGCTCCACGCCTAACTTCATTATGTGGTTGGCTAGAACCTGAAAACGCCAGATGGGAATTGGCTGAGAGGGCAGAGGGAGACAGTTGGGCTCATTAAAGCATGACCATTTGGTGCTCTCTTGAGATGCTAGGTGTCACAACTGATTGCTCAAATTTTGCCATCCAGTTTATATTTTCAGTATTTTGGTCAGTGACCAAACTAGGGCGGAGAGGATTATTTCTGCTTAAACAATCTAATTAATTGCTTGCCTCTCCTGAGTGTGAGAGAAGTACAGTGGTCTTTCTCATCTCTGTTTGGTCTGCCTTTTCCTTAGGTAAATATTTATAGACCTTAATATCACCTGTTTCGGCCAAAGGAGTCTTACTTAGTAAAATTAGAGAAGATGATGCTAAATTGACCAAGTGAAAGGTCGTGAAATGGTGAATAACTTTCTACCAGAAATACTGGCTCTTTGGGCAAGTCACAAATTCTCTGAGCCTTGGTTTTCACATTTAGGTCAAGAACTAGTAGTCTCCTTGGGGGTTCATTCATTCGTTCGTTCATTCAACAAAGATTCATTAAGTACCTACTATGTTCCCAGCTCTATTTTAAGCCCTGGATCATTGTACAGATTATAGATAATATGGGTAAAGTGCTTAGAATAGCTTCTAATACTTTAGTGCATTCACAAATGATGGATATTTTCCTGTCTTCAGATTTTGAGCTTGTGGTGATCAGAAAAACATAGCATTATTTAGGGCCCTATTTCCCAGTGTTAACTCTCATTTCAGCAATAAACTATCCACATGCATCCCAGGAAGCCCTAGGAGAGAGGATGGGACTGAGGCAGGTGAGGAAGAAAAGATGAGCCATAGCCACTACTACCGAGGAGGAAGGTCTGGAGAGAACTCCAAGAGGCCGTCAATGTGGGCCTCAGTGTCAGGAAAGCAAGACGTTTGTGTGTGGGGGGGGGTCAGTGAATACAAAAAGACTGCTGAAGAGAGATATCAATCAAATGCTAGTGACATAATGTTGCAAATAGACATTTAGCTAATCTGAATTTCAGTGTTAAGAGCAAATTAATTCTGAATTTTGAGGCAAGGCTATCAAGATACTATATTATCTCAGTGACTGCATGTTGAATTTGGTGACGGTTTACTTAATTCAGGACATCAGGGACATGGGGTGCAAGGGAAGGGGTTTTTATCATTTGTGACAAACACAGCCCAGACTAATAAGAAATTGTATTGGCCTTAAAACTATGTAGGACCCGCCCTGGCCGGTTTGGCTCAGCGGTTAGAGCGTCGGCCTGCGGTCCGGAGAGACCTGGGTTTGGTTCCCGCTAAGGGCACGTACCTCGGTTGCAGTTTGTCCCCGGCCCTGGTTGGTCATGTGGGTGGCTAACACTCGATGTGTCCCTTTCACATCGATGGTTCTCTCTCTGTCCCTCTCTCTCCCTTCCACTCTACCTGAACAAAGAATGGAAAAGTGTCCTCGGGTGAGGATGATAAAAAAAAAAAAAAAAAAAACTATGTAGGACCCAACCACAATACCAGGTTTTGGTGTGTGTGTGTGTGTGTGTGTGTGTGGTTTTTTTGTTTGTTTTTGTTTTTTGAGAATTCCCATTGGATAAGGGGAAGTATGGAAGGTCCTTGAATGCTGTTTCTGAAACTGAGTGGATATAGACAGTCACAAAGTTTAGCTGTTAGCATGTTCTGGCCCTATTTCTACCACATTCTAATGGGGTAAACTTCAAGTCTCAGCTTGCCCAGTCATAAAATAGGGTTGATAATACCTACATCTCTTGGTTATTGTGGGGAGCAAATGAGATCCTGTAAATATGGAGAAATTTTTCATTAATAGTTATATGTTAAAACTTTAGTCACTACTTCTATGTCATCATCATTATTATTAATGAAACTCTCAACCCAAGTAAAAAGCAAAACTTCCCAACTTCCTTCATGAGTGAACCAAACCATGCCACCTATGTAGTAAGGCTTTAAAAATGGTTCTTTACTTATTGTATTGCCTGTTTGAAAATTAATAATACACCATGTTAAATATTAGGTCAGTGTGCACGTGTGTGTCTGTCTGTTCTATCTGACAACATTCTTTGTGACCCTTTAGAGATTTAAGGGATGGGCCATTAAAAATGGCCTAAACGGGGCACTTCTTAAGAAATTAGAAAAGAATGAATTTAGGAACAATGGGGGGGGGGGGGGGGGGATGGAATGCTTTGGCCAAAAAAATTTCAGAACAGAATACTGAGACTAATATCATGCATGTTCAGGGCCCACATGAGTTCTGTGGATTTATGCAGAATTTGCACAACCTGATCAAATAACTATGCATTCTCTGTATGCTACAGTCATTTTGGCAACATCTATTTAACTAGTCTTTTTCATAATTAGCCTTGTTGATGCAAAAAAAAAAACAACAGGATAAAGTCAGGGCTATAACAGCAGTTTTAGACAAATCCAAAGAAATGAATATGAATTAGCATTTGCTCTTGGATTGAAACTGAGAAAAGCTGAAGGAGCTCAGAGAAAGCATTTTGTCAGTGAGCATCTTTCCAGTTGGCAGCTTACCTTATCTGAAGACATCCCTGCTCTCCTCTCAACTCTTCTATGTTGGGTGCAAGTAGAAACTCTCATTGGAACATATTGCTTCAATGTCTGAAGTTAGATTTGAAAATTCTTGTTCAGCTGTTTCCACTCAAATATTCTACTCTCACATTGAAATAAATATATTCTGAAACTCCTTTCTGTAACTATAGAAACCCTGATTCTCACTGTGTTTCGGCTGGAAAGACAAAAGAGCTCACAGTTAAAAAGGATTATGTTGTTAATTATTAATCTATGAGTAGTTTATATTTCGGAAACCATTAAGTTTCTGTAGATTTAGGTTTTTCCTCTCTTTTATTCTCCCATTTTTTGAAATAAGAGCTAGTTACATTGAAACAAAATGTCATGTTAAAACAATGCAATAAATATTATTTTAGTTCAACACACTATGGAGTGATACATGAGCTTATTCTGAAGGATCACAGAGCCTTGTGTGTGCAGTGCGGAATAAACAAACAGGGAAACGAGAGAATACTGATTTAGAGATATAAATACGTGCCATTGTGGCACAGAGGAAGAAATGATCATGTCTCACTGGAAAAGGAAAAAAAAATTAGGGAGATATTTAGATTTCTGTCTTTCCGATGACAGCCTTCAAACAAGGCACAAGTCCTAGAAATTTTATTTTACTAACATTTCCCAAGCCCTTCTCTCTCCTCCACCTCGTTATTATTTCTCCTCATTCTGGCCCGGATTATGGCAACACCTTCTAAACAGGCCTCCTGCTTCCAGCTGTGCCTTCCCTCCTCCAAGCTCTTTCTCCTTCACCGGGATCATTTATTTAAAATGCTAATCTATTCTACTACTTTCCCTTTTTATAGCTTCTAATAATTCATGAGGATTTCCCAAGGAAAAAACCCAAGTCCTTAGTGTGTATGGACTTTACAAGGAGGCCCCACCGCCAGCTCCATTTCCCCATCCTGTGTATACCATGTATCAAAATCATCCTAAAGTCTTTAGCTTGCTCATGGCCTCAGGTCATGGTGCATGTTGTGTCTCCTGTCTTGGAAATTATTCTTGACCTTTTCCTACTGACAAGCTCTTTCTCATCCTTCAAGTCTCACTTAAAATGACACTTCCTCCAAGAAGCCCACCTCAATGCTTTCAACTCCTCTTCAGCTTTCCATGAGATGTGTGATTCCACATTGCTATCAGCAGTGTTACTGTGCAGCATGATCAGTCTTCATGTTCATTACAGTCATGCTTTTAAAATGTTTTTTCCTCATTCCCAGCTTTCTACTTGAGACAGGGTAGGCACTCAATAAATGATTGATAAACAAGTGACATGGCAGGTAAATGATAAAATCTGCAGAAGAGTGATAGGAGAAGGTCATTGGAGAAAAGGAAAAAGTCAAGAATACCTGAAACGTCTTTGGTTTTGAAGTAAAGATAGTAAATTCCCGAGTGTTCTTAAAGGGAAGGGAAGAAAATGGGGACAAAAAGGAAAGGAGAGAAGAAGTGAGAAGGTCAGAGGAGAGGAGAGAAGTTTACTTAATCTCCACTTTAGGTGTTCATCTCTATAGGTTGTGATTTCTTGAAATACATTTTGATTTATTTATTCACCTAAATAACAAATACTGATTTTTCTACCTCTTTGGTCCAAATACTGTTAGTCTCAATACATGCAACACAGAAATTTCAAGGGGCGTGTTAGCAGCTTAAAGACATTATACCAAGACTTTTTATACTGAACAAAAGAACAGAAATATTTTAGAACACATTTTATTTTAGCTGTCTGATAAGAATAAGAGGTGTTCTTCATTTAATGAGAAACTTAATCATAAATGACTGGCCATGTGATAGAGTCTTAATTTTCTTTCTTTTTTTTTTTTTTAGGGTGGAAAGAAAGGAACGTGCCCGATTGAAGACAGTGAAGTTTAATGCGAAACCCGGTGTGATTGATTCAAAAGGGGTAGGTACAACATAATCAACACATTAAGTTCTCTCTGTTGCCATGGATTTAACTATAATTAACACTTAGTCTTTCAGTAGCAAACAAATTTTGAAGCTACCAGACAGTAGAGCATTGTTATAAATATATTGCTAAAAGCAGTGATGTCATTTCTGATGAAGTAGATTTATGATTAATGTATTGAATCCTGATATAAAGCTGCTAGTGGTCAGCAGAAATCATGTGTTAATAAAGGTGATATAATGACTACAATGCAGAAGAAAAAATATAATTTAGGTGTTTTCACTTTTTAACTTCTTTTCTTTTAAATTAAGTGTTCTAAAAGGATGGATTTTATCAAAGATACCTATTCATCATAAAATATGGCTAGTCTGTTACACATTATAAAGCTAAGACAGTGGTCATGGAAATATGCACATGGATCACCTAAGTGAATACGTGGATTGTTGTGACAGACATAGAAGAGAATTGACAAATGAAATTTAATCACCAAAATTAAAATATTTATGCACACGTATCTTTTACTTTTGATGAGGTCCAGTTTATCTATTTTTTCTTTTGTTACTTGTGTTTTGGGTATCACATCTAAAAAAACATTGCCGAATTCAAGGTCATAACAATTTATGTCAATATTTTCTTCTAAGTGTTTTATCATTTTAGCTCTTACATTTAGATATTTGATCCATTTCCAGTTAGTTTTTATATATGATGTGAGGTAGGGTTCCAATGTCATTCTTTTGCAAGATCATGTCTTATGTAAAAACAGAGCACTTTCGCTTCTTTCTTTCCAGTCTGGATGATGTTTATTTCTTGGTCCTGCCTGACTGCCCGGGCTAGAACCTCCAGTGCAGTGTTGGATGGAAGTGGCAAGAGCAGTTATATTTGTCAGTTTTCTGACCTTAAGGAGAAAGCTTTCAGTCTTTCATCATTAAGTATGATGTTGGCTGTGGGTGTTACAGCTTTTTAAATCTATTTTAAATGATAGTACTAGTATCTTGTTGCTACATTATAAAATACCTTTGGCCCCTTCTCTCTTCCTATTCTCTTTCTGTTTGTCTCCTTTCCTTTATTTTTATGTCCTAACAATTCTGGTTTGTGAGTTTTAAAAAGAACCACAAAGTATGGTCAATATATATCACTACGAAGAACAAGAAAAAAAGCTATCATTTCTTAGGATTTTTGAGCCCCAAACCATAACACTGCCTTTTGTATTTTTAAGTAGAAGTGTCATTGTGCAGTCCATTCATTAACATAAAAATTTACTTTCCCCTAAAGCATTCAGATGTAAATTTATTTAAATATATGATGTTACTCTAAAAAAAGGTGAAGGTATATGTCGTCATGCATGAAGTCCTTTTAAATAAACACTGCTTATATACAAGGGGATAGGATTTTTCAATGATTCTTGGTGAAAATGTAAGGATATATTTCTTGTTTATTTCATATATATAGTTGTATATATATATCAAAGATGTTTTGTTGAATACCTACCATGTGCCGAATACAGAGCTAGAACTCATGAAAGATTCAAAGTGTAACATAGTCCCTTTTTCCTCAAGATCTTATAACATCAACAAAAGTCCAGATGCCTTTTTGATAAGACCAAAACTTGTGTATTATACTTTTTAATCATATTTTTAAATAATATTAAGTATGCACAAATACACAGGATATAAATTCTAGGACTTGAATGAACACTGAAAGAAAAGCAGTAATCATGTGGAAAGGGAAACTCTGGACTGAAATCAGGAGGGTTAAGTAACCTGGGTTCTGGTTTCAGTTCATGACTAAGTCACCACTGCCCCTTGGGCCTCATTAGCGAAATAACAGTTTTGAACTACACCAGGTACATCAGACAAATTTCACTTCCTACATAGATTGATGGATTGATAGTTTCTACATGGAATGGTGTGTTGAAAATAATTCTAAGGCCATATATGACCTCGGCAAGGAAAACAAAAATGCCATGATCCATTAGTTATGCTAACACAACACTGAGAACTGTTCTCTATTTAATGTGCCTGGGTTCAGTGATTTTTAAGTTGCCCACTAGCTGTAATTTTCCATGAGTCAATAAATTAAGAAATAATAAACCAAAATTTTGCAAATCCCCATGGGAATAATACATCAATGAGAACAAGCGAGTGCAGAAGTAGAATGCAAAAGACAGTTAAGAGAAAGTGCACTAAAGAAAGAAGAAACTGTGGAGAGTTGGGGAAGTTGGGTCAGGAGATGCCACTCATTTTGAGCCAAGGGCAAGAACTATAGAAACAAGTCATTGTTATAGAGGTTTCAGTCTCTAGTACCATGGAATAAGTGTAGCACAGACTGAAGAGAAAAACTCTTTGGATGAGAAAGAGATGGTATTTTAAATAACCTCCTCATTCGATGACATTCACAGAGCATTGTGAAGTGTTGCCCAAGTTCAGAGGAAAGCCATGGTTTACTATCCTGCAGTCGCATAGAATCAATTAGTATGTGTGAAGCAGGCTATGATAAGAGCTATGAGAATTCAAATTAATAGGCCTGGGATGACCAGAGAGCACTTCATTGAAGAACTTTAATTGATTTATCAGTGCTTGAGTTGCTTTTCCTGAACTATCCATTGATTAAAAAAATATATATATATACTAAATGCTGCAAAATACCAGGCATTGTGCTAGGTGCTGTGTGGGCAGCAAAATAAGTAAAAAGGCAAAGTCTCTCATCTCAAGGAGCTGACAAGGAAAAATATAAGAAAATGAATAATGAATACAATATCATAGATAATCCCAATAAATTTAGAGAATTAACAATTCTCATTCTCTATATCAGGAGACAGAGCCTCAGGATGATAAACTAATTTACCTAAGATCACACAGCTAGTAGGAGCGAGAGTCAGATTTAAATTCAGATCCTTTTTGACAGCAGAACATTTGTTCTTTCCATTTCTTCATACTGTACCTTACTCCGTTGGAGGACAGGAGAAGAGAGTTACTAATTATGGCTTGGGTAAGAGAGAGGGCTTCAAAGAGAAGGTGTCATCTGAACAAGTTCTTGACGTGTGAGTAGGAATCTGCCATGCATAGGAACAGCATGAACACGAAGGTGGAGACTGTAGGCATGTTGGAGTAAGGCCCAGCAGATCAGGGACACCAGATGGATGGTGTGGATAGTGTGGTGGGAGTTTTAACAAATGGGTTGATAAAAATGTCTAGAAGGTCAGGAAGCTCGCTTGGAAAGTCTGGCTATGAGCCTTGAAGCTTATTGAATTCTTAGAGTCTCCATGAGGAAGTCTGAGGCTTTCCATTTGAAAGTGCCCGTTGGCTACATAGGAAATGTTTGGAATTTTTGTCCACTCCATGTGCCTTCACAAAGTCTGTGTCTACACCTGTAAAGACAAGTCAACATTTGTGTCAGTAACCCAGATAATTCCAGCCTTCCCAGACCCCTAAGGTCAAGGTGATCATCTGTATGGATAGGTCTTCCTGAGAGCCATCTCAGTACCCCAGATCTCACTGCTAAGTTCCTAATGAGTCTCCATTCAAACTAGCCTGTGATGAAAACTTAATCACCCCCTTAATTTCCTTCTTTGTTCTTCTAGCTTTTTAAATCAATGTCCTAATCAGTCATTCTGTTACTTATTAAGACATTTAGGAAATTATATAATCTTCAGAATTGAGCTGTTCTCCATTTAAAAATCAGTATTAAGTGATTTGTGCTAAATTTTGGTTTACTTTTGTTTAAAAATCCTTAATATTGAAGGGAGGGAAATGTATGTTGGAGAGAGTATGAGAGAGCAATCAATATTCTTACTAAATGTCAGCAGTATGCAATACTATGTGTCCCTTTGCATGGTAAATTCTAAAGTCGGGTACAGCTGTAAATAACTAACCTATTTATCTACAGGCTGGTACAAAACAAAGATGACAGATGTGATCTGAAGTTGTTGGGGTGTTTGTCGCAAACACCCAGACGGTTTATATACATCTCTTTTAAATTTTTTTTTACTTTATTGATTTTTAGAGAGGGGGAACAAAGAGGGAGAGAGAGATAGAAACACTGATGAGAGAGAACATTGATTGACCGTCTCCTGCATGTCCCCCAGTGGGGATTGGGCCCACAACCTGGGCATATGCCCTGACTGGGAATCAAACCAGTGACCTCTTGGTGCATGGGTCAATGCTCAACCACTGAGCCTCATTGGCCGGGCTTACATGCATCTCTTAATCACCACAGCAAAACTCAAAGGGAAGCCCGGCCAGTGTGGCTCAGTGAATAGAGCATTGTCCCATGGACTGAGTATTCTGGGTTCGATTCCTGGTTAGGGCACATGCCTGGGTTGCAGGCTCAATCCCCAGTAGGGGCATGCAGGAGGCAGCTGATTGATGTTTCTCTCTCTCCCTTCCTCTCTCTCTAAAAAATCAATAAAAACGTATTTTTAAAAAATTTCAAAGGGAAATTATTTATTTCATCTTTAGAGAGTAAAAGAAACTGAGGCTTAGAGAGATGAAGAAATCTGAGCCCATGTGTAATTCCAAAACTCATAATCTGTTCACTGCAGCATGCTCTCTTCCCTGTTCAACCCATGTCACATTTGTGCTTTTTAAGAGCAATGAAATAAATTGAATTGGATTTAGCTTTGTCAAAAGCTAACTTGGCAGGGGGTGGGGGATGGGATGGGAAGGAGAGTGTCTGGGGTGGGGGGAGGAGAAACATCTGTAACAAAAATAAATTAATAAAAATTGGGGGGGAAGCTAATTTAGGCATAAACTTAAATCCTGAAAGGAGGAAGCCGGTTTCTTCAATGACGTATCTTTGTAACTGAGCATGGGCTACACACTTTCTCTGTCATGACCTACCAGAGCAAACAAGGGGACAAGTCTTGGCAAACATGCTCATTCAGTAATTTAATAATCTTTACTAGAGGCCAATACAAGGTAGCTTGCTAGGCAATGTGGGCCAAGACAATGGCCACTGCCCTGAAGGAGCAGGGGTTCCAGGGGAAAGAATGAGTCCCT